CAAAGGAACACCTCTGAAAAGAGGAGACAAAGGAGGACCAGCCAAGGTCGCCGACCCGTTCGGTCACTCTACCACGGACGACCAGATTTACGAGTACCAAATCGTCGATGTGCGCCTAGTAGCTCGAGCCTACACCTTTCCTCTCAAGAAGTCTTTGACGATCTGGGGCACGATAGGTCACTTCCTTGGCAGCGACGTCTGGGAACTAGAGGGAAGTCGCTTCCTCTACCGCAGAGAAGAATGGGGATACTATGGCAAGAAAGGAACGCTTCGCGACATGTTCGGCGAATTCGTTCACTGGGAATGGTGGGGCCTGTTCTGGGTCATCTTCAGCAGCGTCGTTGGCGGCCTATTCACCATTTTTCTCTTATGGAAGATGTACCGGTGGATCGTTGCGCAGCGCGAGCTCATGAAGTGGGACGGCATGGAGGATGTCTGGGAGAACATGAGGAGGGATAGGGTGGCTGAAGAGGAGGGGGCACTACTAAATGCTCACGGCGCGTACCGCGATGATCCGGATGAAGGTAGTTCCTCGAGACCACCAGCGTACGAGGATGCGTTGAAGCCGCTGCCGAGTAAACCTCTGCCCGAGAAGCCTTTACCGGCGGTACCGTTGATCGATGCTTGAGCATTCCGATGTTTCGCTGCCATTTACTTTACATTTACTTACGGATATCCATCTATTCACCATTTACGGTCTTTGTCACTTCTTCCGTCTTTCCACGCTTTTCTACATTCGCATTCTCAACTCTGGTTGGCCAATCTTTGTCTCGCAGTACTTCACAGGAGGGTTTCGACTGACCGCATTCCACATTGGAAGTCTATCCAGATCAGCAGTCAACAAATACCAAGCAACACAACATATCTGGTCGTACAGCATCGCACTATGGCGGCAGCTCGTATGAGATCGCCACCAACATTGGCAAAGAGCGCTCAGCCCATTCGCAGTTTATCCTGCAATCGGTATGCGTCGAGCATCACAAGAAATACTCAAATATCAACGATATCGCGATAGCTGAGATCGTAGCTTCAGAACTTGGGGTTTTGTGACACGAGTCAGGACCATGCCGTACACCGCCGAAGACACGCCTTCGCAAGGAAAAATTGCGGGGGCTCAAAGCGGAGCGATAGATAGCGGCCGTTGAAGATACAAAAGGACGGAGCATGTAATCCGTAGCGCTTACAGTTGAATCCTTCGACATCAGAAGAGCAATATAGCATCACGTGCAATCATGGTCAAGATCGCAGTCGCAGGCGGCACCGGAAGTATGCTTCCTCCCCTTCTACATATGCTTACCCCGCCTCTATCGACACACTAGATGGCACACATACGTCGCTGTGGAACTGAAGCTGTCTTCCTCTACTAAAGCTTTTGATAGACGTCGCAACCAACTTGCTCAAAGCCACAATCGCCTCTGGCAAGCACGAAATCACCATCTTCACGCGATCTGCGCCAACTAAACCCCACCCATCCCCCAAAGTTACCTACAAGCAAGTCGACTACACCGACCTCAATGGCCTCACCACAGCTCTCCAGGGCTTCCACACCCTCCTATCCTTCTTCGTGGTCCACCTCGACACCGACAGCGTCGCCCAGAAGAACCTAATCCACGCCGCCATCGCCGCGGGCATCTCCCGCTTCGCACCCAGCGAATGGGGCATCGCGAACTACGCCGGCGTTCCCAGCTACGACAACAAAGACTACATCCGGAAGTACCTCGAAGACCTAGACGCCAAGGGCGCACTGGGAAACATGCAATACTGTCTCTTCCAACCCTCCATCTTCATGGACTACTTCGCGCATCCATACCCGCTAGAACGCGACCTCTACACCTGGCCTTTCTTCCTCGACTTCGAGAACCGACGTGCTATGGTTTTGGATGACGGAAACCAACCCATCGTCATCACTGCCATCCAAGACGACTGTGAGATCCTCGCTCGCGCTCTGGACGACACGCGCCCATGGCCGAAGATCGGTGGTATTAGGGGATGTCGCACGTCCATCAACGAACTCCTCGCTCTGGGCAAGAAGATTAGAGGCGGAGACTGGCTCGTCGAGTATGTCAAGAGTGAGGATCTAGCCAAGGGGGACTTGAAAGCGAGTTGGTTGCCGTTGATTAGTCATCCTACTGTTACGGATGATGTGAGGGAGGGCTTTAGCAAGCAGTTTGTTATCATGTTCTTTGAAGCCATTAGGAGGGGGGCTTGGGATGTTAGTGATGAGTTTAATCAGCGGTTTCCCGAGTACAAGTTTATGAGTGCGGAGGAGTATTTGAGTAGGGCTTGGGAGGGGCAGCCTTAGATGGGGGTTGTTGGATATATTACGGGGTGCGTCAAGGTGAGCAGGAATGGTAGCGAATGAGAGCTTCGTCATATATATATCTACAAGAAGAAAAGGGCAAAGAATATACAACCAACCTCTACCTTACGCGCCCTCCCCATCTACAAAAAGTAACTCTTGATCTTGGGCAAAATCCCAGTCCAAGCAACTCCCGTCGTAGGCTCCATGTTATAAATATAATCCGCCCACCACGGCCCGGCCGCCCACCAAATCCCTCCCAGCCAAACATCGCTATTCTCACCCATGTACTTCAACCCATCCTGCAGCGCAGAAATACACTGCGCATTGTTACCCCCCGCAAACTCGCCAATAACACCCTGCTTCTTATTATCCTTGAGCCACTTGGTCGCAGCCTGGAGTCTCTCTTTGAAAATCGTGGCGCTCACACACGTGGCCGAAGTACCAGAGCCGTCAGTGTCGAGGTACTGGTGCATTTGATATACGAGTTTGTTCTCTGGGTCTTTCAGGTTAACCATGCTGGCGCCATTGCCGGAGGAAATCCATGTCCACGCGCCGGTCCAGCTGTTGCCTTCGGGGGTGATGTATTGTTTTGTGGCGCCTGCGGCGCGGATGCCGTCGATGGCGGCTTGGTTTAGGTCAAAGACGAGCTGTTGGTCCATGTCGTGGTATTCGTTGTTTGTGTCGAAGACGACGAGGTCGTTGTCTTTGTATTCGGCGGCGACGTTGGCCCACCAGGTCTTGAAGGCAGAGGTGTCGGTGATGATGTTTCCCAGGAACCGGCCATAATTGTGAGGTTGGATCATGGCGTAGGAGCCTTTGGAGGTTATGTGGTTTACTTGCTCGGTGAGGTTGCCGAGGTAGAGGGGGTCGAAGGCGCCGGTGAGGGAGTTGGGGGTTAGGCGCTCCATTACTGGGGGGTGTTAGGTCGGGGCCTCGAGGAGTTGTGGCGTATGGAGGTATGACTTACGGAAATTCAATCGAAACATGTTCATTCCCTCGTCCATGAACTTGTCGATGGTGTTGAGATCGTACCAGGTGTATTCTTTTCCGTAGACACCTGTGAAGTTCTTCTCGCCAAATTCGGCACCAGACTCGTTGATTCCGAACCACTTCATCTTGCGAGAGGTTTGGCGTTTCTCAGCAGGAGCCGCAAAAGCGGTGCTGGCCAGAGCGGCGGCCGCCAAAAGAGTCTTGAATAGCATGGTGTAGAAATGCGAAAGATACTTCCACAGTCCTATGTTTCACCTGCTGGGCAAACATTACTCTTATACTGCGAATAGTTCGCATGGCAATGATTCAATGCCCCACAAATGGACGGGCTTTGCCTTCCGTTTCTTCCATGGCAATGAGTGGGCCTTCATCTGATGCCAATATGAAAGCGCTGAATGTGGCATCATAGTTCTGAAGCTTTGGAGCCGCGGTGCCTGATAGATTGCTTGGCCATATTAAGGGAAGCTTCAATAACCGGGATCGTGGGTCATGCGCGGTGGCTTTGCGGGGACGCAGGGTTTACGATTCGTGGGGAGGTTACAGCGGCCTGTCGGCAAAGAAAAACGCTAAGATGAAACCATCGCGCCAACTGTCGAAGTTCTGCAACATGGACAATAAGTAATCAGGTGCGTATGTGACACAATAAGTTGCGCATGATAATCCGCCAATGATTGTCATCGAAATCCGGCACTGGCCCTTGAATGCCGAGGAAGCTTCGTTGCATAGTCCTCGCATATTAAACCTCCTTGATCCTTACCGCATTCGTCCTAGCTTCTCATCTGCCGGCTGTCTACCCACATGCGAGTTGAATCGACATACTCCGTGTTGAGAGAGGGAAGGCGTGGGCGTGCTAAGCACCATGGGGCAAACTCTTGATTGAACGTGATGCGAGACAGCAAATCTGCTCACTGCGAGGGTTTTTTGATCGTCGCATCGAACGGTCTGCGGAACGCGGTGCGTATCTCCGCCTTGCATGCTGCAATCGTAGTCATGAAGGGGTGTTTAACAGTCGAGCATATAGACGAGGTTGACGCTGATCGTACCTAAAATTTTGTCTTGCAGGAGTAGCTCACAGATTCAAATCTCTGATAGCAGAACTGGAAATCTAATCATTTCTTTGCCCGGTCATACATACGCCGAATCCCCATGCGAAAATGGCCATTCATAAAGCCAAGTACTCCAATTCGCTATTCGATAGGAAAAGAAACGCATAGGTTGCCTTTACTGTCTAACATTGCGCCGACCGGCGCTGGGGAAGACATTCCTCGAAGGCGCAGCAACACTACTGAAAGCATTACGGCTACTCCTGACGCCAGCTCGCTGCAGGTTCTCCCATTGAGGTTGGACCCGGGCAGGTGGACGGTTTGGAACAATGGAAGGCATGATAGAGGGCACCTGACCGATGCGGGAACGACTTGGGCGATATGCGGGCGGTACATCAACCACTGCTTGGGAATAATTGGGCGCGTCTCTATTGTAAAGTTCTCGGTTTTGGGAAGAGCCATAGGCACTGTCGCTGGTATACGGTGAGCGTCCCTCTTCCGGGCGTATGATGAAGCCACGTGAATTAAGATGACGTCTTTGATGCTGATGTGAGTATGACGTTGGTGCTAGCTCTACCAATCTGCGGCGGTGGTCCACCTCGATAGGCTCGTTCCTAGAATCGACGGGTGAATCGAAGAATGAGAGGCCGTTTAGACTGCGAGCCTCAACCCAGCCGGCCCGAGGTTGGTTCGTCCTTGACCTTCGTGACTGATAATCGCCGGAATGATCGGAACTATTCTGAAGTTCAGCGCGGCCGGGCGATGGATGGACTCGGGCCTGGGTATGACCGGTTCGGAAATAGGGACTTACTACACTCTCGATCTGATGGCCGGGATTTTGTTGGCGCCTCGGTGCTGGCGTAGTGGGGCCAAGATCCGGCATGCCGTGAGCTCTGTTTGTGTATTCGTTAGTCTGGAGGTCGCTAGAAGGATATTGACGCGCATCGACAGAGGCCGGAGATCTGTGTGGCGACTGGTGCATGAACGGATGTCCAAGATCCAAATGCGTCCGGTAATCAACTCGTTCGGCGTTGTGCTCATGTCGATAAGCAGGTAGTACTTGCCTATTCCTGCCATCTTTACGATAGTCCGTGCTTGTTTGCTCGCGAGGATCTTTCAGACCGAGCTCCATCCCATTGTCGTGCGACAAACCATCCATAAGACGAATGTATGAAGGCTCAGTAGGCAAATGAACCGGACGATGGCTACTGCTTTGCTTTTCCATCTTGACTGGAGACGATGCCCGGAATGTGAAGTCTGGCCGGTTGTCTTTGAGGCCTACACTAGCAAGTAGCTGCGATCCTCGAACGTCAGAGGCTTGATGGGGCTGTTCTACGGGCAGCGCTCCCGACATGTATGGTGTCTCGCCGCGGAAGTCATCGCGTCCTGGGTGACGACCGACTTCAACATCTTGCCAGTGTCCGTTATCGTACATTTGCACGTCTGCATCGTCCTCAAAGGACCCATCTGCTGCGGACCTGGAGCGGTCACTGGAGAACTTCTTTCGCAGGCTCGGAAACATCTTGCGCATGGATTGCATCCTGGACATAGGCTTTGGTGGAGGTGGCATGGCATCTCGGCTTGAAGGATGGCCAACTTGGGTATTGGTGGGAAGGGGTGACTCGAGGCGTTGCCGCTTCATGGGTCGCGGGACAAAGGAGCCAGAAGATGCTGTTCCCAATCGCCCAGTTGTATGAGCCGATCTACCGGCGGTATGACTGGAGGCAGTTGTTCGTAATTTACCGTCCGATCGTCCGCTGCGCTCAGGCGATGCTTCGTCGCTGTCGAACGCGTGGGGGTCAATGCCTTTGAAGTTAGGTACAGGTTCTAGTGCCATCGCAAAGCCGAGTTGGGCAAGTCGCTTCTGCATCCTCTCGTTTTGACTGGAGCGGTTAGCAAATGCCTCGTAGCATGGCGTATTCGGCCTACTCGACTAGCATAGGCACAAGCTTCAAGTAATGGCGAATTGCTGACTTGTTTGCCAGGAATGTTGCGAGGTCCTTTGGGTTGACATCGCGAAAATGCGCAACCTCTTCATCGAGACCCTGGAGTCGCTGAACCTCGGCTTTCATGGCTTGAAACTGATCCTTCTGCAGTCGTAGTCGCTCGTTCTCTTGCTGGAGTGTAACGACTTTTGCGTGTTCCTTGGAGGCAAGATCCTGCACACTAGCCAGTTTCTTCTCCATATTGGTCAAGGCTTCTTGAAGGGGCTTGCGGGTCGCATATGTGTTCTGGCAGTATCGAATAAGCGCAATATACTGGAACTGATTATTGTTAGCTGGCGTCATGACCTGTGGGTGACATGACGTACGCGCAATGCCTCCATCTCTTTTCCGCTACCATCGAGGCGGATGGGAGGCGCGGTGAACCATGCGAGCGGAATGTTAGGATCGTATTCATCTTTCTTGAAGCCGCGTATCGAGAAGAGATCGCGCGGCTCACTGTCGCCTTTCTCTTTGATACAGACGGGACAGGGTGATTGAGGTCGCTGTCCGGCTGTATGGAAAGGCGGTCCTGTCGTGGCTGTCAGCAGCTGCCTAATGTGCGGTCGCGCTTCACTTACCGCCGCCCTCCAAATGACTGCTGCAGAAGACATGACAGCAACTGGCGAGGAACAGGCGCGTCACAAGGCGCTCTTTCGGGTTGATACCATCTGACAGGCCACGGACTGTCTCGTTGTGGCCTTCGTAGACATCGGCGAAGGAGGCGCAACACACCGAGCAGGCGTAGATGAAGTTGAGGGGATCAGCGCCCAGCTCTGTTGGTCCCTTCTCCGACACAGCGCTCATGACTGCGGTTGCGACGATGTGGAAAGAGGACAGGAGCGACGCGGGGGTGGATGGTGGGGGCAGTTGAGATGTGGAAGTGACGGCGAGGCAGTCGCTGTCAACAGCGCCAAGACATCAACACACGTCGTGCTTTCCTTTCTCGACGCGGTGACGGACGATAAGGAACAACAAAGGGTGCGAGGTGAAGAATCGACATAAACTCACGGTGAGACACAAGAGACATGGATCAGACATTCGGACACGTGCGCTCCACCTTCAACACTCCCACGCGCTCATGACAAGGGGTGTTATGAAAGTTCACTGATGGCTACACGGAAAGCATGGAAGAAATGTCTCCATATATACAGAAAACGGATCATCTTTCTCTACCTACCCAGTTCATCTTGTACTCTAAGCAAACGTCCGGCATGGGTATCTGTATCGCATTAGTGTCGTTCCTGCAAAATCAGATGAAAAGACCTACGCTGTGCCATATGACTGCTCGTTCTCCAGCTCGTATCGCTTGTGTCCGCCAGCAAGGGTGTTGTGCAGTCCGCTTGGTAGCGGAGGCATACCACCAGGTCCCAGCACATCCTTTGCAAGTCCAGTGTTCTTCTCAAACGCGACCGCCAGTCCCTTGGCGCCTTCCTCTTTCGCCGCGACCAGCGACTTTGTGCCTGCCTCGCCAATCAGCTCCTGCTTGGGTGCTGCCGCGCTTCCAACTTCGAGCAGCGCGACCGCGTCGGACTGGGTGACTGTCGAGAGCCTGGGGTATCGTCGTCGCACGTCGCGCTTCCAGTATGGGTTCTCGGCGATATCAGCGGCAGGAAGAGTGACGGGGTCGTCGTAAGAGTTGGGGTCCAGACCGCCTGGGGGTGGGTTGCGGAATTGCGGGTTCATGGGGATACCCGTGGAGCGCTTGGGGTCGAGCGCGAAGAGCCTGTTAATCGCGGCATAGATTCCGGTAGGCTGGACGGTGTATTTCTACAAGTCTGCAGTTAGTACCCGTGTTCGCAATGGTTCTTGGCCGAAGAGGGGCGGCAAGGTAAAGGCGTATCGAGATCGGGTCGGGCTGCGTACCGAAAAGACAGTAGTCTTCACATTCTTGGCGACGGACATCTTGAGGGATTGGCCTTACAGACAGGCTGCAAGGGTGTCAATGGGTCAATGGGTGGGTGCCGTGCTGTCGCGCGTTTGGGTCGACTATCGTGACGCTTGGTGATGTTCGCGAAGCTCGATAGATGCCAAGACGGCACTATCCGCTTTGATACTCGTGCCCTTTCATTCGTCAGGTCTGTCGCGAATATCAAGAACCGCGACTACACTCGCAATCTTCCACCTTGGCTCGGGTCTCAATCATATATCATCCTGCAGTCATTGTCTCCAGCCGAACGCTCGTCCCACGAGGTACTGGTGCTTGACGGTCAACGTGACAGGCGATGAGAGCGTTAGCGATACCTGTCGATCACTCGCCTCTGACAGCTGAGTCTATAGTCTTTGCCGGATCTGAGAAAGCATCCAACTGGAAGCGCTGATAGTAGATGGCTTGCAGCTCCAGCTTGCATCACTGCCCAGGTGCTTTCTACCAACTCCTTAGCCGCAGTGAACTTATTGTGTGCCTGCTAGTTCAAAATGATATGAGCCCGCGTCTGTGCATGCGTTGTTGACTACCTACCTAGTAGGTATGCATGATGCAAAATCGTTCCTACCCCACTGCCGTTGCAACCGTGATTGTTGCCAGGCTTACGCGCACGATATCCGCGCCCTTCCAATCCCGAAAAAGGTGGGATGGCACGGGTATCCGCACTAGTGTCCTCGCTTGCTGTGATATCCGCTGCAGGTGATTGCGACACGGCGTTCTGCATCGATATCCGACATTAGCCGTGACACGCCGCTACGTATACCCAAGACACCCGCGCGCCGATTCTGCGATGAGAAGGGCACGAGACTACTCCACAACGCTGTTAATCTTTGTCATCGCGATGGAGCTGGGATCAGAGAGGGTATTGCGGGAGCTGCGGATGGTGGTGGAGGGTGAATGAGTACTTATGTACCTCTGTCTGCACAGGAGCTCGTTAGTGAAACGATCTTGGTACTCTCCTTCGTGCACACGAATTGTACAACTGCACGCGTGTTTGTGGCAATGATCTTTGTTCGATACCAATAATACAACACACTTTCAACTCGCCTTGAGCTGTCGCAAACATGGCAATTCTATTCCTACTGGCCTCCATCTTCGGAGCGCTGGTTCTCTACGTACGTTGCTCCCCGTTCTCATGCCATTAAAAGCTGACACTATGCTCAGATCTTCGGAGTGATCGTTTACCGCCTGACTTTCCATCCTCTTGCATCATACCCAGGCCCTTTCCTCGCAAAGATCACAGATATCTATCTGGCGTACTACGCCTACAAGGGCTCTCGGCACCTCGCTTTCCACCGCGCGCACGAGCAATATGGACCGTACGTCCGTCTTGGACCGAATCTACTTTCTGTCAACACCGCCACTGGTCTAAAGACCATCTATGGATTCCGATCAAACGTCAAGAAGGCGTCGTTCTACGAAGCGTTTCCCAGTACACCCAAAGCGGTCAGCGTCCATAGTTCTATCGACAAGATGCAGCATGCACGTAAGAGACGTGTGATGAGCCACGCTTTCAGCGACTCGGCCATCAAGAGTCTCGAGAAGTACATCCTGGCAAATGTACGTGTCGGCTGCGAACTGCTCGGACGTAAGAGCAACAACTGGTCTGCTGAGAAGAGCCTCGCCGATGAGAAAGATGGTGGCTGGAACGACGCTTGGAACGCTGCGCATTGGTGCGAGTGGCTCGTTTTCGACATCATGGGTGATCTAGTATTCGGCAAGGCTTTTGGCATGTTGGAAAGCCCTACCAATCGCTTCGCAACTCAGCTGGTTGGCAACGCGGCACACCGACATCTCATCTGCGGAACACACCTTACCATCCACAATTGGCACCTTGACAAGCTCTTCTTCCGCAAGATTGCAGGCCAGCGGGCGCAGTACATGCAGTACAGCAAGGGCCAGGCTATTGAGCGAACAAAGTTGGGCGTCGACGTTGACCGTAAAGATTTCTTCTACTACCTGCTCAACGCGAAGGATCCAGAAACCGGCAAGGGCTTCAGCATGGATGAGCTTTGGGGCGAATCAAACTTGCTGATCATCGCTGGTTCCGATACAACTTCGACGGCTATGGCTGGTGCCTTCTTCTACCTAGCACACAACCCCGCAGCGATGCAGAAAGTCTGCAAAGAGATCCGGGAAACATTCAATGACGTTGAGGAAATCGTAACCGGACCCAAGCTCAGCGGCTGCTCATTCCTACGCGCTTGCATCGACGAGACCATGCGCATGACACCCCCAGTCGCCGGTGCTCTTCCCCGAGAAGTCCTTGCCGGTGGTCTGGATATTGATGGTCGCCACATTCCTGCCGGATGCGACGTGGGCGTCCCGATCTACGCCATTCACCACAACGCCGATTACTTCCCTCAACCGTTCGACTACATTCCTGAGCGATGGTTATCTGATCCATCCGCGAACCCGCTTCATAGCAGTCTCCAGGCAGCGCAGTCGGCGTACAACCCCTTCAGCATCGGCCCTCGTGGATGCATTGGCAAGGGTCTCGCGTATGTTGAGCTGTCGGTAACGATTGCCAGGGTACTTTACTTGTATGATTTGAGACTGGCACCAGGCACGACATTGGGTGCTGGAAGCAAGGACTTGGAAGTCGGTAGGACAAGGGCGTCTGAGTATCAGATCCAGGACGTTTTTGCGAGCAAGAAAGACGGGCCAGTCTTACAGTTTAGGGCTAGATGATGCCTAAGTACCTAAGTAGCTTGATTCATGAACTATCTTGTTAAATTCCTTGCAAGCCTTTGACCAAATCTTTTCTTTTGTGCCAGTATACCAGGTGGGCGCTTGGTCGAGCTATTCGTTGCACAGGACTGAACGGCGTGACGGCCGCAGTTTCGCTGCTTTCGTGACCGTGTTATCGATAAGCCAGGTCTTGGCAAAGCCAAGGAACTTTCTCTGTTTAGCGCGATAATGGCTGGCGTCTTTTCGAGCAGACGCGATCATTCGCCATCATCGGTTGCGGATGCACATACCATCACCTTCGGATTAACACAATTGACTATGGCTGTACCCAGGATACTCTCTCGCGGGCGCTGTCTCTTTGCTCGGACAACGCCTTCCGCACGCGTTGCTCAGTCAGCTGTTCCGTTGATCAGAACATCAATTACGAAGCGAGAGTTCGCTGCCAGCCAGCTGAGGCGGGAAAATATCATCGAAACACCGTCGAGAGGACCAGAGATTGCACTCACTGATGCGCGCGCTCCGACACCAAGCGCATCATCAGGGGTTGCTTTATTGGGTATACCAAAACGACTGACAAGGGGAGAGGTCGAGGATCTACTAAGATCAAAAGGATGCACCGTGTACGTCTTATAACATTTCTTTGGGGATTTCGCAAACAGGGTTTCGGGCTAATGATCACCCAGCAAGAGATTGCAGATGCGTCTTGATCGCTACACTTTCCAGAACGACACCAGGTGTTTCGCGGAACTCGGAAGCGAAGCAGAGGCTGCCAAGGTCATTGCAGAGCTTAATGACGCAGAGATACAGCGTAAGAAGCTTGTCGTCAGGCCTCTCAAAGACGACTTCGTTTGGGGCCCTGTGGAGGACAAGCGAGATCACCAGTACGCTACTCGCTACTTCTTTGACGAGGGCCCCGCCGCTGCACTCGAAGCTGTACGCCCATTGCTCGAAGGTCGTCGCTTGATGGTTAGAGTTCAGACACCCGGTTGGACGTCCAATACCAGCATCGGCAAACAGAAACAGAACGCGCTGCGGATACTTGACGAGCAATTCGCCAAACATGGTACCATCGAACGCATCAGTGACTTCGCGCCATTCTATGGTGATAAGAAGAAAGAACCGCGCATTCTCTGCTTCATCGATTTTGCAACCAAAGAGGGCGCAGATAAAGCGATCGAGAACATCCACGATACGCAAATCGAGGGTCGTTTGACATGGCTGACGCGTTCTGAGACCAATCAATACAGGAGCCACCAAATTGGGAAGGTAGCCCCAGAGGCGCTCAAACAGCTACAAGAACGTGGTGTGGCGCCTAAAGACGAAGAGCTCCACGAGGACAAGTTTGTCAATCCGCTACCGAAGAAGGAATAGTCAAAGCAACGATGGTGGGACGTGTGTGTTGCATGAGCTAAGACTTTACTCGACACACACCATAGTCTGTTGTCAGCACTGTCTTTTAAACGCAGGTATTTGTCGACCTTTGTACATTAAAGAAGATTCCAACCTTATACGAAGAGACCAAAATGAAAAGTGCCGGCTGGCTTGCATCTTGTCTCACACCCACCACAAGTCTTCAATTCTTCCATAGTACCTAAAGTTATGGTACAAACGTTACGCAAACCCCTGCGCTCACAACGTGCAGGTAGCAAAGAAGCTTTACGCAACACGCATGTGTTTGGGCGGTCGCTTGCCCTTATCTTACCAGCTGATATTTTCCAGCTCTTTAGCGTCGCTTTCCTCCCAAGGAAACAACTGCTCTGAAGCCTTGATCAACCGCTTATGATCCTCCGATCGCGGTTTGATCGAACAACGGTATGGCACAGGGTGACTGATCGCTCCCGGCTCAAACTTCACCTCCGGCTCCACAACGCGACCATCTCCATCAACGGACTTGGTGATGTCAAACACCGCGAGAGTCTGGGCGATGGTAATGAAGAGCGCGTTATCCGCCACGTATCGGCCCGGGCAGATGCGGCGACCATATCCGAAGATGAAGTTTCTAGGGTCAGGCTCACTCTTATGAGTGGGTGTTTCGAGGAAACGTTCTGGTCTGAAGACCATCGGTTCGGGGTAGACTTCGGGGTCGTGCGTAAAATGCCAGTTGTTGGGTAGCAGGATGGAGCCTTTCGGAATGCGATAGCCGCGGCAGGTGTCTTCTTCGGTGCTGCAATGTGGAAGACACATTGGTGCGACGAGGTGCCAGCGGTGTGTCTCCTTCATGATTGCCTCGATGTAAGGAAGGCTCTCGCGATCTTTACTGACGGGTAGCCGGCCTCCGCCAATAACGCGATCTAGCTCTTCTTGGGCCTTCTTTTGAACTTCCGGGAAGACAGTCATGGCAAGAAAGAAGGTCATGATGGAGGACACGGTCTATTGATTGAGTCAGTAAAGTAACAGAGGCGCCGATATCTGCATAAAAGCTTACCGTATCAGCACCGCCCAGGTAGAGCGCCAATGCAGTCCACTTATGAACAAACTCCATCTCAGCATCCGAACCGAGACCTTCAATGCATTGCGACAAGAAAGACGGCGAATGCCTCTTCTCTCTCATTTGCTTCTTCACGAACTCATACGGTTGATTCGTGCATTGGCTGAGCTGCGCCGCCATTCGTCTCGCCGTGTCTTTGAACCCCGTACCTGGCAGCCATGCTGGCAAGTACCGCACTAGCCGACGTCAGAGGCTATATTAATCATCAAGAAGCGATACTCACAGAATGGGAAGATGTCTACCGACCACTTCCCAGGAACTGTAGCATCGGCGAACTGCTCCATAGTCTTGGCGGCCATATCAACGAAAGGGTCGTTGCCATTGGCGACAGCAGTGTAGCCGTAGGTGATCTTGAGAATGACACTGCCCGCCTCTTTTCGTATATGATCAAAGAGCTTGTCGGGCGACTCTAGAAGGTTGAGCAGGAAGTGCGCGGCTTCCGTCTCTTGCGCTTTATCAAACACGGACACGGAAACGTTCGTGCTCGCTATCTTGGTGATATTTTTACGGTGAATTTTCCATTCTGCGGAATACGGGGTCATCGCAATTGCATGACGCCATCCTACCCTGTCAGCATGGTCAGCGAGCACTTCCCTCACCTTACTATGGAGCTCTCCACATACATGTCACCACTAAAGGTCTGGCTAGGTCTCGAAGAATGAATCGCTGAGCGATCGCGCAACAGCTCGAATGCGATCTCAGGGTCGTTAATGATGATGAAAGTCTGCCCTAGCACTGTGACGGAACTAAGGGGACCATAGATATCCTTGTGTCGTAGCCAGTGGTGGCACTCCAGCATGCCGGATTTGGGCATATCGTTGACATTTCCAAGAATCGGGAGGCCCTTTGGGCCCGGGGGAAGAGGTCTCGCGTTCTTCCTTCCCAGATGCCAACGGGTGGCGTAAATTATGGCAAATGCAGCGAAAGCAATAGCGATCGTGGCTGATAGTACGATAGACATGGTGATGACAGTGATGAGGAAGGCCAGTTGCCGGGATTGTAACATGATCGAGATATATGTCCTGCCAAGCCAGATCCTTCGCCATATCAGTATCTTCCTGCGTGATGACGGCTCGCTTAGAACGGCTGCGCCGCATCAATGCAAATACAAAGTGCTCGAGAACATTTCCGCCAGTAGAATAAAGCGTAGCAATTCCCGCAGGATTTGGACCGTGTCGAAAGGGTGAATTTATCAAATCCTGAACGTCAACGTTATCGGTTGCGGCACAAACCTGTCAAGGAATGGCAAGCCCTGGAGTCCACCAGTGATCGTCTTCCATTGCGCGCGGACCTTTTCGAGGCATGGTAATTTGATGGGGCGACTAAAACAACGGCTATGATCCATTGGATCCTGCGAGCTGTCACACGCTCAAGAAGGTAACCCCCTTAACGTATCGTCTCTGAACTGAGCCATGAATCATGCGTCATGTTGAACATGTACTCCCAACGCTTTGTTGGTAACAAATCTTGCGCTGCTGCGCACCTTCCCACTCGATCATCGTCGCGATGAAGCTCATCCAGTACTTTGCGACATTCGCCATCTTAGTGCTACATATACTCGCACAAGACGATTTTCTGCGAAAACTACCAACTTGTGCAGTCAGTCGATGACCGAACTTTCGTGGTACCAGCGGCTAAGACCCACAGGCAAAGTGTTTCCAAGCTCTTGTACCCTCGAGCAATTGCAAGCCCGACAACTTCGACTGTCTGTGTGCCGACACCACCTTCCAGACAGCATCCGCGAATTGCAATGCTGAAAACTGTACTGTTTCCGCATCACTCAGTGCGACCAACGAAACCTACGCGGCTTGCGGCATACCGATCCGGGACGAGAGCGAGACAATGATCGCTGTCACGGCATCTATCGGCGCTCTTGCTGTAACAATGGTTATCTTGCGACTGACAGATCGGTTCTTCTCAGCCAAGGCAAAGCTTGGGCTGGACGACCTACTCATCGGGCTGGCTGGGGTAAGTCATGAGCGTTGAGCGTGCGGGACGCTAGAGCTGACGAAGGGTAGTTGGCCTCGTTGTTTCAGAACGTCCCTGTCATTGTCGGTAAATCCCTCCCAACACTCCATCTATAGATGGATTGGTCGACTGATGAGCCTCCTAGCGGGTCGTCTCGGATTCGGAAGAGACATGTGGGGGATATCGCCGGCGGCGATAACAAATAGCTTCAAGGTAAGCCTCGTCTTTAGCGCCCGTTATGAAGCTAAATTTCGCTGCAGTGGTTGTACGTTAGCTATTTTATGTACCAAATCGCAGAAGCCTTTTGTCAACTGTCCATCCTGGCTTTTTACCTGCGGATCGCAACCTCGCCAAAACTACGCACGACTACGTTTGTCCTGATGGGGATTGTTACCTGCTTCGGTATCGGCAATACAGGAGCCATGATGTTTCAATGTCAACCTATCTCATTCTTCTGGGACGGGTGGAAAGGCGAAACAAGTGGCCGATGCACCGTCGACGTTCGGCTATTTGGATTCATTCGCGGCGCCATTGAGATCATGCTCGACGTGGCAATCCTATCGTTGCCTTTGCCCATGCTAGCGAGACTACAGATGTCCTGGAAGAAGAAGGTCCAGATTATCTCTATGTTCGCTGTGGGCTTCATCATCTTCATCGTCAGTTGCCTTCGCTTATGGGCTCTCGTCAAATTCGATCAGAGCTCAAATCCGACTTGTGAGTACTGCTCCTCCTGTTGGCTGCACAATGACTGACCGCGCAATCATAGACGACAACGTATCCGGTCTTTACTGGTGTGCAACCGAAGCCAACCTCTTTATCGTAGTCGCATGCATGCCTGCCATGCATGCGATGTACCAGCATACAATTCCCAGGATATATAGAATGCCCTCAGGCTCCGGGAAGAGCAGCTACGTCTCTAGTGACGATCGCTATCGTATGCGAAGATCAGGTCATCGGCTGTCTCTGGGCGGTATCTCGAAGGCTATCGATATCCAAGTCAAGCGCGAGGATTTCTCGGAGTCGGATGTCGAACTCGTAGGCCGGACAAACTATCAATGATGCTTTGGGAGGTGGAAGGGCGCGTGTGGGGTTGCGAGCGACGCATCAGGCATGCAGCGAAGACTGGCGACATCTCTGTTCTCGATGACATGTAAACAGCCTGACTAATCGACGCGAAGTTCGTTCTGGCAATGCTAAAGCTTCCGCGCTGCACATGTCTGCTGAGTTGTGAGATGGTAGAAGCTGCATCATCTAGAGGTAGCAGACAATGACGTCATTACCTACCTACGAAGCACCTAGCCTGTTCGGGCAGACCACGAAGACTGAAGGGCGGCACTTCCGTCCGTTTTCGTTCCTCTATTGTCTGGCGCCCACTGCGTGAACATAACAACTACGCTTTACTACAGTGATCACTGCATCATGGCGCTCAACCTCGAGTCGACTGGTCTGACGATTACAACAGGCGACCAGATGTAAGCTCGCATCTCCACCTTGAAGGCTAACGCGTACAACACTGTTCGAGACACGGGGATAAAATTGCTGACTGAAATAGTGCGCGGATCAACCAACTTATATCGCCTTTTCTACGACTTCCTGCAGAACTTCGCAATCTCATCTATCTATTCACGTTTACAGATTCTGTGATACGTATGCATCCGCGGAAAGGCGAACAAAGCGCGACAAACCCTATCGGTCTCGTTTGCTGCTGTCGGCAGCTCCAGCGTGAAGCCAACTCACTCTTCTATACTACAGCGACCTTCGAAATGGAAATGGCCCTGCCTTATAGCCACGAAGCCGCTATCGTCGCCATTGGAGCTGAGCGGTGTGCGCGGATCACCTCGATTCAAATCTCTTTGTTGTCGGTAGAATTCCAATATGTACACTGGGCCTACCCGGCCAAATGGTTCCAGGAAGAGGTTGAACTTCAAGGGAGGGCTAACGCAAACGCGTTCCCGGCTTTGAACACGGTTCACGTCAAAGGTTCGAGGCTACAATTGTCACTCCTCAGTTCCGATACTAGGGCTGACCTTGTGCGCGCATTTCGCCTTGTTTATGGAAAGCCAGCCATCGAGATTGTATTTGAGGCAGGACTGGAGGGTATCCTGAGAGCTGCCGATGATGGGCAACCGTGAAGGCGAGCCGATTCTGGTCATTGTCAGTTGCCAGTGACTTACTCCGTTTTCACAACGTATGTATCGGGTTGATTGCAGGTCGTCAAGGCACAAGGGTGAATGGAAAATCGTATGTTCCCGGAAAGCTTGAGCTGAGGCACGGCCATTAAGCTCCCACGCGCTCTTAAACCCGCAGTTACATCTAAACATCTACACTCTCTCAGTATTCTTTTCCAGTGTCCAACTTCAAACATCACCATGTCCTCAACACTTGCTTCAGAGATGCAGGATTGGAATACGGCTCCCAATAGAGTTAAAGCCATGTAAGCGGTCTTGCATGTTTGTTGATCAATCGCTAATAGGCATAGTACAAAGAGAAATCAGCTTACCTCGGCTCTTCTTCGGCTTCCTGGTGAGCTGCGTAATAAGATCTGGGAATACAGCTGTCTAGGCAGAACGATCAAGTCGGTTTCGTCCACATACGAAGGTGCGCCAATCTCTAACCGCGAGCCTGTTGGCCTCCTATTCGCATGTAAGCAAATGCGCTGTGAAGCGACTCCACTCTTCTACCGCCTGTCCACCTTCGATATCGGAGACTTCAAGAGGTGGGAAGACCTAACGTCCATTCTGTCCACGCCGCAAAACCGGACGATTACCACGATTTGGTTCAAACCTGTTGTGTGTCGCCTGGTTCCACATTCTCAACGCGTGCCCCAGCATGCCATTACGCATATCGGCCTCCGGAATGTCAAATCCGAATCGTGGCGCCTGTTTTGGGGCACTGCTTTACAGGCATACTTCCATGGACATGAACTGGATGTCATACCTCTAGGATGGATGAAGACTTCGAAAAGGTACCTTCGCCCAACCCAGAAAAATAAGATAGGTCGTGACTGTAATCGCTTGATGAATGGGCACATGGTAGTCTGTAGTGATGCCGAAAGTTACGAGCGACAGCCCGATTCTTTGGATAAAAAAAGTCTATTGACTGCCACCGGAAGCTGAGTCGGGGATCGCGTGATCGGAACTGTGCTAGTGTGGAGCACAGGCAATGACCAGGCGGAGCAGGAACTGGATAGATGGCGGCTTTAGCATATGTGCCAGCGATTTAGATAGTCGGACAACGAAAAGGATGATTAGAATGCAACGGTCTTTAGGATAATCTCCACCGGTGCAATCGCGAACTAGGAACATTATGATTGCTGACAGTGACGTAAGCTGAGATGGAATGCGGGGGGTGTTCGGCCGAAGCGGTTAGCCTCGGCATCGGGGATGATGGCCGCCCCGAAGGCGTCTTCGTAACAACGCGAGTTGTGCCCTTACGCCTTGTTTTGACCCACTGTGATACAACCACTCGAAATGAGCGCGGATGGTCAGACGCCGAGAGTGGTACCTCCAAGTCGACGAAGAGACAAGCCCGTCTTAAGTTGCACCCTTTGTCGACGACGCAAGTAAACAATCACCTTACCTGCCCAAAAGAATTGCATGCTAACTGACTGGAGGTTGAAATGTGATCGACAGCAGCCATGCAAAACATGTGTCGATCGCGGACTCTCGCTGTCGTGCGTCTATGTTCGCAACCCACCAGTGCATAAGGAACCCAAAATCCCAACCAGCGTCCATGACAGGATTGATCAACTCGAGAAGCTCGTCACCAATCTCATCGGTGGAAACGCGGTTGATACAGCTAATCCCGCGCTATCTAGCCCATCACAAGTGCGGCAACATCACAACGGAGGCAACAATGGTGACTTGCCTGGCACGCCAGATCGCGTAAATCTCAGCTGCGATGCAACAAGCTATACGAACAGTGGACATTGGACAAGCATACTTGATAGCGTACGTGAAACCTCTCACAGAGACTCTTACCTCTCTAATATCAGCCCAGATATCTGAGCTGCGCGAACATCTCGACCAGGTGCCCGTATCGCCCGACCCGGATGACGAAGTGGCGAATGAAGTACCCGGTCCGGAGCTGCTGTTTGGACGTAATCTTCATGCGACTAGAGAAGAGTTGCTCGCCGCTCTTCCTCTACGGCCAGAAGCGGATCGACTCATTGATACATTCTTCATATCAATGGAATCTCATCCAAGTATGTTCACTACCTCGATTGAAGAGCGCCCACTGATATCTCCAGCCCTCATCCACAAGCCAACCTTTCTCAAACAGGTGAGATCATATGTTTATTTCTACCTCAGGTAGCTAATGATCACACAGTACAATGAGCTGTGGACACAACCATTCGAAACTTCAACTATGTGGTTGGGTGTTCTCTACGCTGCACTGGCACTTGGCTTTCGTTTCCAAGCCGGGGTGAACGCTCATCAACCTGACGATACTAGACTGGCTCCTGATCTGGTGCAAATCGGCTTTTATCGCGAGAAGGCTGCGCAATGTAAGCAGGAACTGAGTACAAACTACATGTGACGCAATTGCTAAGTCCGTACGTCAATATCTAGGTATGATTCTTGCAAACTATACCAAAACACCGCCATACACGATCGAAGCGTTCTTGTTGTATTTTGGCACCGAATTTTTACGCTCAAGCGATAGCCAGTTCAGCATCTACATGCTTGTTGGCATGCTTGTACGTCTTTGTTTCCGAATGGGATACCACAGAGATCCGTCGAGATTTCCGAACATCTCGCCTCACGAAGGTGAGCTGAGACGTCGTAAATGGCTCGTAGTCATGTCGCTCGATTTTACCACCTCTTCTCAAGCCGGACTGCCACGGACGATCATGCCGTCTACGTACGACACTCAAGAGCCTCGCAATTTAAGTGAAGATGACCTTCACGAAGATATGCTAGAACTACCACCGTCAAGGCCCGAAACTGAGTTGACGCAACTACTTTACTCCATCGTTCTCACAAGGTTGCGAAGCGTGCAGGCCAGAATTGTAGATCTCGTCAATGCTACATCGCTGCCACCGTACGGAGAGATCACCGAGATGGACGCCACACTAAGAGATGTCTTCGAAAAAATACCACAGTCGCCCACATCAAACACCTTCGACGATCCTAATACCAACTTATCACCAGACTTCATGCGCTACACGTATTTGAACGTAGCCTTCTTGAAGGCCGAGCTTATGTTGCATCGACCCTACTTCGTCCTCGGCCGAACCGATAGCAGATATGCATACTCTCGCAGGGTCTGCTTGAACGCTGCTATAGAGATGCTTCGCTTTCAGAGCAAGCTTGACGCTGAGGTCCAACCAGGAGGTAGACTAACTTCACCAGGGTGGCGTCTCTCTACCTTGAGCTTGTACATGTCTTCCATCATTGCGCAAGACTTCTTACTCGCGACTACCGTCTTGGTAGTCGAACTTGATGAAGGCCTCATTGCTCCTATCCCACCGGCTTCTGAGCCCATGGAAAGCGGGGTGCAATTGGACCATGCGTCCCCAACGCAAGAAGAAATCATCGCGTCGTTGCGCTCCGCTTATCACATCTGGATCAGGGCTAGCAAAAGATCGCAGGAGGCACGGAAGGTTGCTACAGCCGTGAAGCTTGTTCTCTCTAAAGTTCACGGCAGTGGGGTACAGGCTACCGAATCGGCGCACGGTGAGCGGCATCTTATTTACTACCCGCTTACATCTACTAACGTCATCGAAAGCGGCTCACATAGGTGCCCAACCTGATTTGACTTCCCCATCCCAGATTTTCGACACCGACAATCTTGGATTCGCTGTTCCCGACTCGGATGCTTTTGACATGGGCGATAGTGCTTTTGGTCACCCGTTCGATTTTGGCTTCATGCCAATGGATCTGGACCAGTATACCTTACCTCTCGATTGGGTACGTTTAGCTCGGCTCATCAGGTGCTGTTGGACTAACCCATGATTAGGGTGATGCGTTTCCCAATCTCCAGCCGCAGCCTCTTGGACAATATCCCCCAGGATCGTTCTTCCAGCAGTAGAACAGCTGCGCGTTCGAGTATTTTACCAAATCTCGGTCACTCTTCGACAATCGAAAGGCTTTGGCAAATGTACACGAGCGACGTGGTGTCGCTCAAGCATCATGTGGAGAGGTCGCGATCGTCGCTCCTAAAGTTCGGCGTTTCAGTCGCACTAGTGAAGCGCTCCCCGTTTCTGCGGGAGCTACCACCTCGCATTCGCGAACTTCACGACCGCTCTCAGTTCGGCACGACGCGTACTTCCAATGCGTGGGCCCGGCCATGCGCAAGTTGTTTGGACGTCGACGAAACATCTCAGACCCCATCCATCTGAAGCTGGTTGTTGCTCGATGCCACGCTTTGGCCACGTCCTGCGACGCCGAAACAGGTACGCTGATCGCCGAATTCGCACATCCATCGCGATCTGGCGACTAGCAAGTTGTTTGAAACCACCAGTCTATCCCCGCGCAAGGCTGCATGTGCCGTATCCGCGACGGTATATAGCAGGTCTATCATGCAACACTACAATCATGCGACAAGCCTACCACGTACATCCATGCTTCTCAGACATCGAGATTGAAGATTCCCGATAACCAGGAACAGTTGCGTCATGCTGCACGCATGTTGAAGCGCCTTACTTATCATCTCTGCGACAGTGCACATGTATTTTGTTATGGATATCATACACCCGTCCTTATGTACTGACATCCGTCAGCACTGTCAGTCTCGCTGCTAGCGCCTTTCAACCACACGGTGTGTCGATGAGCAAGATGGATCACATAGAGGAGACCTTCTACACGGGGAAAGAGATCGCAATTGAGCCCGATCTTGGAGACTTGCGGAAGTCTACCGACAAGGCCCTGCCGGCGCCGCCCAAGACACCGAAAAGGGTGTTGATGAAGTACCGGTTCTCTGCTATCCTTTCGATCGCATTCGCGGTCGCAAGCTTCGTCTTCACGCTGGTACTGGTACTGGCGGGAAGCGATGAGCATATGTTTGGTGGACAGTACATCGTGGCAGTACGTATGCCGACCTCGGTGAAATGAGGACAAATGTTGACGAACCGCAGCTGAACACAACTACGATCGCCCGAGCGAGCTCGCAGTCAGATGCAACATCGATACGATCGGAAGGCGTGGACGGCGAGGCACTAGCAGATGTCTACTATCTCTACCTCAGGACAGTTTGTTCGGGCTCTATTCCCGATGCTCAAGACGCTGCTTCCGATATCGTTGTTGTAGAACTGTGCGAAAGCTATAGCGGAGCCAGTGACAGTGAGTCAAACAACTCCGAAGGTGTTTGAGGCTCGACTGACCATAGTTCTGTAGGGCTATTAACACTCACAACGCCAACTGACGGGTCTCAAGACCCACTCTCCCCAATCATCCTAGTCTCAACCCTCCTCAGGACTATGGCTACCGTATTGGCCGGCGTACGATACACCGTCTTCGCTTCCTTACTCGTCTCGCTCGTCGGTGCTGGCTTCTCCGCCGTATCCGCCATCCCAGCCATCATCTTTCCCCACTCAAAACTTCTCGCCTACTTCAACATCTTCTGGCCATTCCTTGCGAGCGCATTCGCCTTTGTCGCCGCCGTGTTGCTCACGGTGTTGATCTCTGGGGTCTTCTTGGTGGCTGGTGACATCATCGACGTTGCTGGGGGCAAGCTGAGTCAAGGTACATCCGTGCTTTTGATCGTATGGCTGGCATATGTACTAGTGTCATTGTCGGTCGCTTACTGGGGCGTGGTATGGCTCGTGGAAGTCAGGCGATCAGGCCTCACCAGGAGAAAGAGAAGTGATGAAGAGGTCGGGAACTGGAAGAACATCGGGAAAGAGTTATGGAGTGATGTAAAAGGAACGAAAAGATTATGATACCCCGCTCATATGTCGTACGCGGCACATCGTAGCAAAAGCATCCAGGTTGACTGTGCGCTACATTCCTGAGTATTTCGTGCTATGGTGAACGTGCACAAACCCGACTTGTGCTGGTGCTGTTCGGTACTTGCTCGCAAGTCTTCCAGCATATTCAGTCAAATCAGAGTCATATGTTGAGAGTGTGCATCTTGGTGCGGGATTCAGTGCTCGTGCGGCGTGGAGAGTCACTTTCTGAGTTGTGTCAAAGCTCTGAGTTTCTTTGTGTCGAGTTGGCCCTCAACGGTACGCGCCAACGATTGGTTGTCACGGATACTCGCTTCCGTCAGAGTCATATCGACTTCTGTGGGGTGGCACAACGAAGGCCGGTAAGACCACGAGCCGCTCCTGAGTGCACTTAAGAGACTGACTAGCCATACCTGACTCTACCGATTCAAAGTCATACCTGCTCACACTATGCTGCTCGCGCTGAGTAGAGTCACTCAACTTTCCAACTATAAAATGCCTTCTCTGGTGCTTCATTACCTTTGCGCCACACAATTCAGCTTTCAACAGCACAGCAGTCGATTCAACAGCCACACATATCAACGATCAACAAATCAGCATCAACTACACCAATTAACCCTGGACTTGCCACCTTCGAGGCCATCCACATCCAAATATGTCCACTTCGATGCTCCCGCCACCGTTACCGCTCAAGCAGGGCCTCTTGACAGCTAAAAACCTTCACCACCGGATTTGGCAATATGGTAATAGATACGGGCGATACAAGACCACGGAAGAAATCGAAAGTGAGGAAAACCCCACCGAGTTCTGGATTGAAGGCTCCCCGAGGCGTGCCAACTACAAGCGCAGTGAGGGGGATGTTATAAGTCACTTCACTACTCTTCAATCTAAACGAGAAGAAGGGAAGTTGCCGGAATACGATCCTTACTGGGACAAAGAGCTCTTGAGTGACCTTACCAAGGCTGGGGGCACTATTCGCAACATCGTCACACTGGATCTTGGTAGTCTTTGCTACTGCGACGAATCAGACTTCGAAGGTATCGCGCGGGCACATCTGTTCGCTCGCAGTATTCTCAAAGTATTGTCCGACGCGGCAAACGAGGTGACAAGGTCGGGCAACCTTGACCCGTTAGAGGGGGCTAGATTTATTTGTGAAGATGATCACTACGGAAAGGAGGATCTCAAGTACCTTGGAATGAGTTACCTAAGTGACGGAACGGAGGGATGGACCAATGGCGGTCGCATCCTGCAGAGAAACAGCAACGAGGGCGTAGGTTGGTCTTACCTTGAAGGAGGCAACGGCGACTACATCTTCATCACCTTCAACCCCAAGAATCCCATTCGCCAGCTTCTCGCCAATTTGCTCTACACAGCCGATGAATTGAAAGATAGTTCAACCTGGAGAACCGCGAAGCTTGCCAAGCCTCGCGCAATCATTTGTCGAGATCCACAAAAGGAAGGCATAGACGAGCGAGATCCAACCGATTACCGTGTCAGGAACTGGTTCAACATGCACTACGACCAAGTACACAAGTTTGATGAGGGTACCGGGAATAAGATATGGGGAGGAAACATTTATCTCTACACCTTGAAGGCTAAGGTTTAGGGCAATGCCCCTTCGGATTAGAGTGTGCAAGGCTCGGTTTAGGTTCACATTGGGACTTCGGAAAGAAGTAATGATATATTGATGGTGATGGTATACTACAGTGTGGAATGGCCAATGCATGGCTTTCAAGGTTGTGCAATTAGATGCAGGCAGTCCATAGAATGACACTGTAGTAACATACTTGGTGCTCGGAATTGCGTGTTGAACCTCTAGGTATGGACGAGAATATTAAGGCACGATACTTCACTGTCATGTGAGTTCGACCAGGCGTGAAAGAGTGCTTATGGTTGTCGCGATCATGGTGAAATACTGCTAGAGAAATCTCATATACCATGCATTTTACCCACTGTTTGTAGCGTATTGTACGCTTCGAAAGTTTTGAAAGAAGACCTCTAGATAGATTTCTCTTGTGCAAGCGTTCTGTGGCCATGCTGACGCACATTTCCTGCATGACAAATGTGGAGTGTAACGAGATCATGTGTACAATGGCATGCAATCGCTGCCTTAGAAAGACACTTTCGCAACAAGAGCTGATAGGTAGTGATGCATGCCAAACCGAACATTGGTTGTACAAGATCCGAGCATCTGCCATGGCTACATTCCTCGCATGCTATGCCCAGAGGTTGCATCATTGTGCGACGTTCTTCGAGTCGTTGCGAACTACGCAACCACCTCAGATACCCGGAAATGGCACTTGCACGGTTGCCTGCAAGCGACCTTCCTGTTACCAGAGCTGAACAGATCGCTTTGATGACCAGGACGATAGCAAAAATCATTTTGCATGAGTCAAGGTATTACTGCACTCCTGGATAGTGGCACCAGATGGTTCGTGGGCTGTTTTGGCCGTCTTAGTATCTCGCGGAGGTGAGTTCTACGTTTCACTGAACAGTCATAAACGTATAGATAGAACTGTAGTACTCAGCAATTGATATGGGAGTCATAGACTGGGAAATATAAAAGGTAGCTCTTCTACACTCCTGTTACAACCATCGAATCGATACCTGCATACTCACAAAACAAGTTCAACAATTCACCAAGACAGATCCATCATCATGCAAGCGCGACAGCCACCAGCAGCGTCAGCAGGAGCTGATCATTTTGCTCGAGCAGATAAGGCTACGATCAGGGATGCCCTCGCACAGGTGCCTGACAACGAGGGCGGACCATGGAGAGACTTCGACAAAGTCGCCCACATCAAACACAATGGTATAGGACGGCACCCTACCACTGCAGAGCTCCCTCAAAGGAAAGAGCTCGTTCGAAAGGGAGACCTCGCTCCAGAGGAAGAGTTTTGGATCAAAGAAGCGCGCTCTAAAGCAGCTCATGAGTGGGTTGTGGAACACGTCAGACTCTTTTGGTACCATAATCTTGCCTCCCCAGTACAAATAATTTTGACGGATATCGGACACTCTCAGATGGAACGACCCGACGAAGAACCGCTCAAGGAACATTGGGCATTGACGAACATAGTTGCTCAAACACGAACAACCATCCGAAGAGCGGTAGTCATGGGTTTAGGTACGATATTCAAAGCCGAAG